AATTCTATAAATTAATTCTATATTTATCTTCTAAATATTTTTCTTTTTGAGATTTTTATTTTAAAAGATTAAACAATTTTTTATTTTTTATTTATCATATATTTTACCTATACAAAAATAATAATAATAATAATAATTACGATAATTACAATAGATAATAATTACTACAATTAATAATAATTACAGTAATTGCAATATAATAATTACAATATACAATAATTACTACAATTAATAATAATTATTATTAATAAGAGATTTTAATTTGAAAATAATTATTTAGAGTCTGATTCAGTATTATTAATGTTTTAATTTAAAATGATTCGATTGAAATTAAATTGAATTTTTTTTTTGAAATTTTGATTATATTTTTTATTATGTATGTTATGTATAAATAAAAATTAGATTTTGATTAGAAAATGGATAATTATCGTGTGACATGTAACAAGTGATAAAGTAATTTTATTTTCATAATACATGACGCTTGATTCATCGTTGGCATTTTGTGAATAATAGAGTTAGCATAACGAACTAACACTATATTATGGACTAATAATGGATTTATGTAAAAGAGATTAAATATCTTTATTTAAAATTTCGACATCGATCATGTAGAATTTATGATTCCCGGCTGCCATATCAATATATATATATATATTAGGAAATAATATTTTTTAAACATTTTTATAAAAAAAAAATTACTAAATATTTATTCTTTTTTTAAATTAATTATTATATAATACGTATTTTTATTGAAATTATTTTATTATTATTATTATTTTGTTATTGTTATTTAAAAAAAAATTTCTTTTTTTTTAATAAAAAAAAGATTCAATTTAATATGAACATGGACGTTGGGATTTTAATTTAATCCGATTGTCAATATCGTAACTAAATTCTTTAAATTGGAAACAACTTGTTTTGAAAGCTTCCAAAATGAGGGCTTTAAAGTATTTTAAATTCAAAAGTGATACCATGTTTATTTTATTTAATTTAAAATTTGAAAATTATTTTTTATAGCTATTTTTTATTAATAATTAAAAACAAAATTGTTTCTTTAATTTTTAATTAGTTTCAATATTTAATAGTAATTATATTTATTATTTAAAATATAATTTTATAATATGTAATTTTGGATAATAGTTTTAATATTATAATATAATAGAGTTTGAATTTTTTGTATTTTTGCTTAGTTATAAGTAGTTTTTACGTCGAAGTAAAATCCGCAGTAGTATAAACTATTATTAGTCAGACATTACAGTAGTATGCAATTCTCTTTGGCCTATACGGTTTAGAATATATCATTTTAGTTTAAATTAAGTAATTTTTTTCTTCTTCTATTTACTATTACATATCGTGCAAAAATATATTAATATTTTCTTTTTTAATGCATTTTTACAAAAAAAAATCCTTAGAGAAAATTTTAAAGTTTCAATGAAATTTGATTTAAAAAAAAATTTTAATTTAAATAAATTATTTTATTTATTTTATTATTTTATTATTTTATTATTTTAAATATAATTATTCTTTGAGTCAATTCGTATTTATTTGGGGCAAGTGAAAAATTTGTTCAACCATTTTTTCTATATATATATATATATATAGTGGAAAATTAGTCGTGAAATTAGTATTTTTTTTTCTTCTCTAAAATCAATAATAACAAAAATGTTTTTGTGAGTAATAAATTATCGAAATCTTTTTAAAGTACAGAATTGTTTGCTTTTATTATTATTATTATATTCTCGGGAGGATTTAATTTGCCTCTTTTGAGTGGGTGCGATACTAAGGTAAAGAACTTGTATAATATCGATTGAAGTGAAAACTTAGCATGCATAAAGGGGGGTTAAAATCTTTGCGTGACCACTTTTCACTCGCTCTCTCTCTCTCTCTTTCTCTTTCTCTCCCTTCGTCTCCCCTGAAACTGACCAACCGGTGACTTGGTTTCACTGCAATCTTTAAGTACTACTTCGCCGATGGTCACTTTCTTACTCCTGCGGCTGATCATTTTCCCCTCGACAGCCAAAGAAACAAAAAGTTATTGTATTTTTTTGTCACGTGAAAATTCCCCCCCTTTTATTATTACTATTATTATTATTATTATTATTATCATTATTATAAATATTCATTTTTCGGACATATTTCAACAATATAAAAAGCAACCGTATAAAGGTATTTGTTGAAACATTCTTTTGTTGAGAAAATTTTAATTTTTGCACTTAACCCAAATTTTTTTCATATTTAAAAATTTCGAACTTTTTTTTTTATTTTTCACCAAAAGTAGAAAAATATAGAAATGTACTTAAAATTGGTGAAAATTTCTTATTCAAATTTAGCGCTTTTTGTATTTTTGTTTTATTAATATATATAGACATTTGGCTTCATTATTCGTAATTTATTTCACATTGCACGCTGAATTTTTCAAATATGCGGCTCTGATTAGGTCCTTGAAATGAAAGTCGATATTAGCGCCTCCAAATTATTCTGGACAAGATTAATCCTAATCAGGGCCTAGTTTATTAATTAACAATGCCTGGTTAAGAATTACACAATTTATTGTTCCGAATATTTTTTTTTTCACACAAAATTTGTTAGATTGTTCTTAAACTGCAGAGGTGTATACAAAACGACGAGAAATCGATTATGCAGAAATTCTCTAGGAATTAATTTGAATTTATAATTTTTTTTTTTTTATATATTATCGAAAGAAAAATTTTACAATTTGTTTTTACGTTATTGTAAAATATTTTAAAAATTAATTAAACAATTTATTAAATAATTAATAATTATTAATTAATTATTTAATTATTTAATTATTTAATTAATTAAATAATTAATTTGATAATTAAATATAATTAATTTAATAATAAATTAAATAATATGTTTAATAATTAATATAATAATATAATAATTTAATAATTTCATCTACTTTATTAAATGTTGATGAAAATTTTCGATTTTTAAACTAAATCTATTCAAACAATTTTTTAATTAATAGAATTACATTAATTCCTTTTATGCCTTGTACTTGTAGGAAATTATAACTTTCAAATTATGCGCAACAAAAAATTATTATTCTTGTAATGCTTTGCACCATTTTAAGTACCTGTTGTAAATCTTTATGATTTTTTAAACAAACGGCACTTAAAATTTGAATCTAAAATTCAAATCTCCTGCAATTAATGTAATGGACGTAGTAATTTTTATCAAAAACAAAAAAAGAGGAATTATTATTTTTGTTTGAAAAAGAGAATTTAATTTTCAAATTTTGAAAAAAAATTTAATACAGAAAAAGAAAGATCTATTTTCCAGATGCGAATAATTTGATTCGAACCAATTGATAGAAAAAAATTTCAAAAAATTAATATTCCTATTATTATTTTTTTTACCACTTTTGCTACTTTTTATTTTATTTGTTCCCCGCTTCATATATAAAGAAATTTCATGCGCAATTGTAATAAAATATCTGAATTGATTTTTTATATTAAATCCTGACACATAAAAAAATTACACATTTATAAAAATACAAGTGTATATATATATATAGAAAATATGTTGAAAAAATATATATATAGAAAATGTAATTAACGGGTCTATATAATTCCCATGTCGCATGATAAAAATTAAACCTGTATATTTTTGATTTTTATCAAAAGTAACTTTAAATTGTAAAGTACACCGTTGACGATAATGATGAGGGGGTGTTAGTATTGTTAAAAAGTTCCTGCAATATTATAAAAACCGTTATAATTTCTGACTTGCGCAGTAAAATTATAACACGAAGGTGTTTTTTTTTTTTTTTATTATGTATGAGAGACGTTGAAAAATATAATTTAATGTAGGCGCACCACTCAAGATTGAATCACGCATCGCGAGTTACACTACTTTAAAAAAAAAATTTCTTTTAAAAAAATTCTTTTTTAATAAAAAAACATTTTCTTCATCTATATATTATCCACAATTAGAATTCATCATAAAAATCATGAAGCAAATTCAATTATTTATATTATCACCTGGCAAGTTTAAAAATTTTCAAAATTTTAAATACAAGTGACGTGAAAAATTCTTTCGGAGTTCGTATTGTCGTATATAATTTCATAGGTGACTAAAACAAATTAATTGAAGAAAAAAAAAAAAAAATGGGTGAAGTCAACCACGTCTGGCAGACATACTTGAATGATGAATTCGCACACATAGGCAAAAGGATCGAAAATCATCTGTATGTATATAGTTTCACTCCCACGAATTTAGAAAAAGTCACTTTTTTCGATTAATTATTTTTTTTCTTCAAATTCGATATTTTATCATTTATTGAAAAATAATTTTTGTAATTTTTTCTATTTTCGGAGAAATGATATTTGATATAAAAAAATCATTATTTGCTTTTTAAATTAAAATCATTTTTGTTTGAAAAATTTTTTTCAAAAAATTATTTATTCAGGTAAATAGAATTTTTTTTTAGTGTAAATTATTATTTATTATATTATTTATAATATTAATAATTAATTACTCTAATATTAAAAATTTTGTTTTTGGAAACAAAAAAAAAAGTTGTATTTGATATAAAAAAATCATTATTTGCTTTTTAAATTAAAAAAATATTAGTCATTTTTATTTGAAAAAATTTTTTCAAAAAATTATTTATTCAGGTAAATAGAATTTTTTTTAGTGTAAATTATTATTTATAATATTAATAATTAATTACTCTAATATTAAAAATTTTGTTTTTCGGAAACAAAAAAAAAATGTAAAATCACAATTTATTTGTGTATAACTTCCTTGAATCAAAAGCCGCTTTTATTTATGGCCACTGGACTATTAATCAAACGAGTCATATGGATTTTTCGTTTTAATTTTTTTTTTTTTTTTTTTTTTAAACGGAACCTGTGGGGCATTTGCGATATAGACCTATTATCATTAATTTGGCATAAAGATCAATAAATATCAAGGTGCCTTTTTTTTTAATAACACTAAGAGCTTATTGAACACACCTTATTCGATTTCAGTGTATTGACGGCATCTGATAATATTGAAGGAGGAAAGGAAAAATTAGCGACCCGTTGGAAAAAATCCTTGGGACGCTATTGCAAGTGTTGGCCAGGAATGAAGTGTCTCGCATGTCGTAGGGATCATCCCAAGGGTAAATTGTGGCCCAGAAAGCAATTGAGAACAATTTCAAAAGCTGAATTAACACCAACTCCCCGGGGGAATGAGGATAAAGGTCCGGGAAAATGGTCGAGGCTCAAAGCTGCTTGCAGGTAAATATAATTCATTTTTACTTATTATTTTTTTATTATTAATTCATTTTTAATTTTTATTCTTAATTAATTTTTACTTTTTATTATTTAATTTTAAGAAAATTAAAAACAGAAATTTTTTATTTACGTTAATTTGTATTATAATATAATTTTGGATTCTCTTTATTATTAAAAAAAAAAAAAATTATTCAGTAGTAAAATTTATTTTTTTCACTCAGATAATAATTTTCAAATTAAAATTTCTTAATAATAAAAATAATTGACGGTAGTAATTATTATATATTGTAATTATTGTTATTGAAATTATTATTGTAATTAAAATGAAAATAAATAATTTTTTTGTTAATTGAAAAACGTTGAAAATTTTTTAGATGCCCTCGTTGGAAAGAAAGAAAATGGTGTATGAGAAAAGCGAGAGTAGCGCCTGCCGAAAGTAAACCTTGTTGTCCACCTGAACGTCGATTTGGTGCCTTATGTAGAAGATTATTTGCCAATTGCAAATGTAAACGTTCTAATAATAATAATACTACTAATAATTCACAACGGAGAAAAAGTATACGTGCCAAGCACAGTATTACAAGTGTCGTAGCGCCTCCCGTTTCAGAGGTATTTATTTCAAAAAAAAATATTTATTTAAAAAAAATATTTATTTCAAAAAAAATATTTATTTCAAAAAAAATTTACATTTTTTAAAAATTTTATATCTTATTTTTAGGAATTAAGGCCTAAACTTCCCGATGTTTTGGTGGAACACAATTCATTAATGCGTGGGGCGATTCCTTGTCTTCCTATCCCCCTCGCATGGTTTTGTTTTGTTTGGAATCTTTTAATACCTGGATCAGGTATGTCCTAGAATTATTATTATTTACTAAAAAAAAAAATTTTAGATGAATAAATTAATAGGAAAAAATAATCCTTATCAAAAAGAAAAAAGTAACTTTCTACATTGGAAAAAATAGTATTCAATCAGTCCGTATTTGATTCAATATTTAATCAAAGAAAATGTTAAAGTTTTCCTTAAATTAAAAAAATTGGATCAAATATGGTTTTCTTGAATCAATGCTATATTTTAGAAAAGAAAAATTGTCTCTTTTTTAGTAGTAATAAAATTTAATTTAATAGGAACCTTTTGGAGTGGATTATTCAATCTTTGCGTTGGACAACCAAGATTTTCTCCAGTCGCAAGTGGAAAAGCAAGGTTTGGCGCTTTTATTGTGAATTTATTCGTGGGTGTTGGTCAACTTTTTACAATATTGTTTTGTCTTGTTGGATGGGGTTGGAGCATTTGGTGGGGAGTCACAATGATTCGTCTTGCCAGTGAGTTTTTATTTTAATTATAACAATAAACTCATTTTTATTAATTAATTAATAATAATTAAATTAATTAAAAATTATTATTATTTACTTTATAATAAAACTAAAAGTAGAATTTTTTTGCCAGTAAATTATTAGTAAAATTTTGTAAAAAGGAACTTGATGTATTTTATTAGGGAAATATAAGCGCTTCAGAGACTCGGAAGCTGCGAGTGGAGATCTGGAAGCGAGGGCTGGTGAACCTGTAGCATTACCGCCAGGAGTACCGAGTCAAGCTTTGCGTGGCATTGAAAGGGCACGATAAACTTCTTCCTTGCATGCTAATTGCTATTAAATTCATATAGTAAACGCATCTTCCGGTCCAACGAACTTGAAAGTTTCAAATTTCATAATTAAATGAGATTCACTGTAAAGTGAACATTGAAAATAACATTCAGGAACTGCTTTCAATGAAAGCATATTTGCATGTTTCGTCTTTCCAAAGTTCTTTATCTTTTTGACGAAATTATCAATTATGTTCCTGAGTTATTTATTTATTTTTATTCTTTTATTTTGAGAGGAAAAAAAATTTACTTTTTAATGTAAGAAAAATGGGAAAGAGATAATTAATTTTTAATGGGGAAAAGTGCTTTCAATATTTTATAAAAAAAAAAATAATTAATTTATATATATATTTATATAAACAAAATAGTATATTATATTTTATAAGGAGAGATGGTAATTATAAATGTTTAACGACTGACGATTCAATCTGGTAATGTACTTTGGAAAGGCATCTTATTATGTATTTCATATTTTTGCATTGATAAATTATTATAATTATATATACATATATTGTTTATGTAGCTGTAAATAAATATTAAGAAATATAACCAGTTTTTACAAAATATGAGCTTTAATTATTTTCCAAGCTTTTCCAATTTGAAAAAAAGTAATAGTCTTATTAAATAATTACCTTTTTATTCTTGTAGAGAAAAGAATCTTGAAATATTATTCTCTATTTATTTACTTTCTAAAAATTGTTTATTTATGGTCATAAATATATACCAGAAAAATTGTTTCCATTGTAATTGACTGATTTACACTTATTTTTATATATATATATAATATTATTTAATTGTTCAAAAAAAAAAATTAATTTGCAAAATTATGGAATCCAACAAAAAAAGCATCCTTATTTCCTGTTTTGAAAATATATCAGAAAGTGAATAAAAAAGTTTTTGTTTTATTTAAAAAAAATAAATCTAATAATCTCTTAAAAATTAATAATTTAGTAGTGAAAAATTAAAAAAAAAATACTATTTGTTCATAGTTAATAGTTTCATAAGAAAAATATTACAAAAATAATTATTTAACTTAAAGTTTGAAGATATTTGAAAAATATAAAGATATTTTCGATCCTTTAAGTAGTTTTGTTTTGAGTTTTAAATGAGGTTTTTTTTAAAGTATGGAGTAGGTATATGAATTTTTTTTTTTTTTGGTGTGGGTGTCAATGAATTGAGTCTTTTTTGACATATTGAATACATATTTTTGAGTAGTATATGTTTTAATGATGTGACTCCACAATTATGTAAATATGCACAAGTAAATATTTGTTATTATATAATTAAGTGTTACAATGTGTGTATTTGTGATACTGTTCATAATAAACTTATAATATTTCCATTATAATAATTATAAGAATTAAAATAAATCTAAAGAATTATTTCTACATTACTAAAACGATGGCGATTACTATACAGCAACTTTTATTTATTATTATTTATTTTTATTTTTTAATATGTCTTTTACCAGAGACTTTTTTTTTTTTTTTTAAAGGGGTTAGTTGTGTAAATATTCCTTTCTCTCTTTCAGCATATTTAAAAACTGACATTAACTTTCATCCCTTTGCTCATTGTTCTCTATACATCAATACACTTGTGTGATATTCATCTCTTTGATTTGTTTCTTCAATGATCAAATATCGAAAATAACAATGACAATCGAATAACTTATTGAAGTTGTAAAAATAACGATGACTTCGAAGTATCAGAAAAAGAATTATTATCGATGATAGCTAATTGCAAAATTAAAAAAGCGAATGAATTTTTTTTTTTTTAAAGATTCAGCGCATAAATATTATCGATAATAAAATAACAAAAATTGAAATTAAAATGAAAATATTTTTATTTTAATTAACAAGTGATTCAAAATAAACGTATAACTAATAATAAATGAAATAATTGACAATTGAAAGAAGAAAAAAAAATCTTTTAAGACCTAAAAGAAAATTGATAAAAATATTAACAAGCAAGCAATAATATAAAAGGCATGTTTTTTTTTGTTAAGCAAAATGAGTTTATGAATCTAAATAATTGTGTGTGTGTGTGTTTTTTTCAATATGAAAGAAATGGATATATAGCAGCTATTTCAAATCAATTAAAAAGACATCTACGCAATATTGCGAAAACAGAAACTGGCGAAACAAACACTCAGTCATTCGCACAAGCGCCTCGTTCATTGAAAAGCATACTAAGTAATTGTGTTTATCCTATATATATATATATAGTGCTTTGATTGTGACGAGAGTTAGTTTTGTATCAATGTATGTGGTTCATGATGCTGTTGAGTTCAGTGTGTGACGAATTTGCGAGCTACATTTTGCATGATTTATCGTTTACAAAACACATTTTCGGTGTGAATTTTTCCATTTTTACTTCTTTTGTTTTTTTTTATTTTCTCTAAAACTATAGTCTGTAACTGTATATATGTTTATGATAATATATAATTTATACCGTTTTGTTGTTCAGTGTCCTTTGCGAATCGTTTCCAAAATTGTATTTTTTTTTTTTAATTTTGTCAATTATCATTTTACATGTTTCATTGTTTTGAATATTTTTTTTTTTCAATTAGTTTGTAAATGTCCTATTTTATTAGTTTCAAGTATTAAATGTTATTTGTTATTGGTTTCGAATGTTTCGGATGTTTTTTTTTTTTTGCTAGTTTCTTTTTTTATATAGATATAAATATAAGTTTCGCATGTATGTTTTTTTTCAAGTTGCGCATGTTTTAAGTTTCGATTTGTGTTTTTGGGAAATTTTTTTTCTCGATTATTTTCAAAGTAAGAAATAATGATTTTTTTCATATACATATTATATATAACAATAGAGTGCGTGGATTCCAATAGTGAACAGAATTCAAGAAGCCAATTTTAATATTTTGTATTTCATGTCAATTATAGTCGTCTAATCAGTATAATAAGATATACATTATTTTTCTTGGCAAATTCAAAAAAGAAAAAAAAAATTTTTATTTTCCAAAATAGGAACGTATTGTGCGAACTATGTATACAGGGTGCAAATTTGCGAAATACACGCCTCATGTTGTTCTTAATTATTTTTTTTTTTTTTCTTTATTTTTTCGATAATAATCGTCTGTTGTCTTTTTTTTTGTTTGTTAAATTTTTTTTTTTTTTCATTTAAACGATGGTACAATTGGTAGGGTGCGCAGGGCTGCTAGGCACAGATAATTGACTCGCAAATAACTCTTTAAACAACATTACAGCGTACGACATTCAGTATAATACACATATTACATTATTTAAGAGTAATTGTGTCGATGTGTGTGTTTTTTTTTTCTTTTTCTCACTGTGACCTGCATTTCAATCGTGTCTGCGATCGTGTTACTAGATTTTTTTTTTAAATCTATTAGAGTCCTTAAAATACATTTAGTTACTTGTGCTCTGCGACATAACAGACTGTCAATGCTTCACTATTTTTTTTTTTTTTTTCTAAATTAACATTCCGAGATTTTAATTTTTTTACTATTATTTTTTCTCAGGATTTTGTTTTTTTTAGTGATTCATTGCTAGACTGTTTTGCAACACGAGACTTTCGGAAATCTTTAAAGTATAATGCATACAGTCAACAAACCTTATTTATAACTAATTTGTCTTTTGACGCAGCGATGGGAAGACAAGAGCTTAAGAGACCCTTTTCGGCTCAGACGTACAATAATATAGGGATATTATAATCTGGCAAAAAGTGAAATCGTAAGGAGACACATTTCTATACAATTTTTTTTTATTTTTGTTTTTTTGTTTTGCTTCTTCGAATAAACTTGGAAATTTACTTGGGGAAATTTAATTATGAATAATGCTAGAGACATTGATATGACACATAGTGTCTTGGGATGCCTACAACCTGATATGTTAAACAGGTATCTCTCACCGGTAATACTTGGGATCGCTAATAGCTGTTGCGCTTTGCTTTATTTTGTAAATAATCAAATATATATATATATTATGCAGAAAATAAAAATTTCTCAACAAAATCTTTTTTTAATTCGAAGATAAAATTTTTTTAAATTTTATTTAATAATTTTTTTCTTATCAGTTTCAATAAAAATTGAAAAATTAAATAGATAATTTCATAAATAATTATAATTTAATAATAATTAATTAATTAAAATTCCCTGAGAATGGTAAATTGATGGGGGAATACAAAAGAAAGCAAAGCGCACTGACAGTAATACCCTTTTTTTTTTCGCAAATACTAACAATTAATAATATTAACGATATGTAGCTACTGTCTACTAATCTACCTAACTACAGACATTATCCTAATGCCTTAAAAATTAATCACCGTTCAATATAATTCTAAATGTTCCGAATTTTTTGAAAATTGGAACCATAAATAATAAATCTTAGAATATTATTACAGAATCGAATGAAGTCATAGTTTCATGCGTTTCTTTTCTTCTTTTTTTTTTTTTTGCAAATATATACACATAGATGGGTGGGGGGCGAAGGGGGGTGGGAAGATATGTTATAGAATGATTTAAAGAAATTTTTTTTCTTTTTTGTTAGCTTTTACAATTAATTATCGACACAGATTTAGGTTTTTTTTTCATTAACAACCTCGAGTTTGATGTACAATCGGCATAAATATTATTTCTTTCCGCCTTTTATGCCACGCTATAATATTTATAATCATATATTTATAATATGTAATATATACTCTATTCAGAATACTGTATCACTAAAGAGTCTAACTACTACAATTACAATTTGATTTTGTACATAGTAAAATTCATGCATCAGAAAATCAAAAAGTCTTACGGCAAATTAATTTTTTTGCTCGTAATATGTGTATATATAATATATATATATTTATATATAATTTTTTTTTTTTTTTTCATTTCTGTGCTTTCAGTTTTATGAAATTATACATATTTTTTTTTTTCTGAAAATAGATTATTACAATGAATTGAAATTGGTACAGCGAATGAAATCGTTATACAATGAAATTGATATTTATATAAATGGAATTTATTACAAATGTGATGCGCTGGTCGTTTATAAATGTTAGTTAATGTAAGTCAGTTAAAAATATTCACATCTTCTGATGCATGCTATAAATTAGATACTTTAAATTTAACCCTTCGAATTAATAATCAAATTGACAATTATTGAACCCCTTTTTTCGAGAAGGCTTTAAAAACGAGATAAATACACATTTTTCTCTTTCTCCTTTCTCTCTTTCTTTTCTATATAGTCTTTCTCTCCCCAATCCTTGAAAAATCTCATTTCATTAATTCGCTCATCATTTTTTTTTTTTTGTTTATTTATTTAGTTTGTTTGTTTGTTTTTTTTTCATCAGACTTTGTTACTCTCTTTCAGTGAATGAGTACAAAGGGTTAAATGTAAAGACTCATTGTCGTGATTTGGAACATGAAAACTTGTTTTTTTTTTCGTTTTAGTTTAGTCCGTTGCTCAATTTAAAATGTGCAGCCCAACTTATCAATCTTCGTTGTCATGTACACTACCATTTTTTTATTTTTTTTTTTTTACTTTACCATGGATAATGGATAAAATGGTAAAGTCTCAGAAAATAAGCTGACATGCGAACTTTTTTCACGTTTTTTTTTTCTATTTTCTTTTTTTTTTTCTTTTTACTAATTTAACGCTGTTTATTTATATTATGTACCTAGAGTACATCACGTTGGAGAGCGATTTTAATCATGAAGGTATCGTAATTCAATTCAATTAATTTCCAAAGCTTTTTTTCGGTTTTCGAGCTTTTCAAATATATTTCGATGCTTTATTTTTAGAGATCCTTTAAACTTTTTTCCATGTAGTTTAAGCTTTAAAAATAAATTTTCAAAAAGTTTTTTTTTTCGAGGTAATTAAATGAGTTTAAAAGCGTCCTGTTCTCTTTTTTTTGAGTCTTAATTGGAAATTTCAATGTATTCTTTTTTTGAGATAAAATTGACAAGTACGATACTCTCGTGATTGAATCGCTGTACTCCGAAAATCACAAATATATTTAAAAAAAAATTTTTTTATGATATGAATTACGCCAGTCCCAAAAAAAAACCTTAAACGCTATGTCTTAGTTCTTAAAAGTTCTGCTCGCTAAACGAAATTCATAGTCATTTGATAAAGTTAATCTAAATAAACTTAATTCCATTTATAATAAAAATAGGTAATAATGATAATAAAAACAAGAAGAAGAAACATTTTTTTTCAAAACAAGGCATTCCACCGTATTTTCTGATTTTTTTTTTAATTTGAGTCAACGAAATCGAACATAATAAACAAAAACGAACAATAATATTTCTATTTTTTAAAAATTTGTTTATAAAATATTTCTTTGCTAAAATTTCTTTTTTAGCACATTAGGTTTTAAAAAACATTCTTTTAATTTAATTTAAATTAAATATTATACGATCTTGACTTTTTATTATATTTGTAAAAAGTTTTATTTTAGAATCGAATTAAATATTTTCGAATAAAAAAAAAAATTTGCTTTCTATCTGTATATTTTTTTTTTTTTATAAAAACATAATAGAATAAAAATATTAAATCAGGCTAAAATTTATTGTTCGAGCAATATAGTTAATGAATAAATGAATATTTTCCAAAACTCATTTGAATGTAAAATGACTTTGGAAATTTTGAAAATGACCATTAAAGTTAATGACGGTTCACATGCCCCGCTTTGAAAACTTTGTAACGGCATCATAAAAGCAAACTGCGTTTGTGTGTACTATATATATATATGTAGAAATAATAAAAATTGGAAATTGAAATTGTTACGTCGCAAGGTGAATTAATGTGAAACTGCTAGTTAGTGCCTCGTTAGGCTAAAAATCCTCGATAAACGCGAGAGGATGGAAAAATCGAATAATCGAAAGACATCCGCCTATACATCGATGCAAAAGATGAATCATTCATTTTTCGATAAAATCTCTTCGCCAACATTAATTTTTTTTTTATGTAATAAGCTTCTAAGAAATGTAGAACTTATTTTCTAGTTGCATTGTAACAAATATTGCCTCGAATATAAATTTTTTTTTTTTCTTATTTAAGTTTAATATTTCAATTAATTTCTCTTTCACTCTTTCTTTCTTTCTCTCTTTTTCTCATTTTCTCTCTCTCGCTCTTGCAATCAATGGACGTTGGCGGATATTTCTCGCGCACTTTGAGGGTTTCAAATAATTATTTCCCTCGAAAAAAAAAAAAACCTCTTATTATACGTATGGCCAAGTCTTTCTTTTTTTTTTATTTTAATCATTTGGTTCACTTCGTAATTTTCAGAGATCTAAAACCTTTTCTTATATAAAACATCCCTCGGCCTGACAAAATATTGCCGAAGAACACTAATATATATTGGATCATCGACATTGTTCATTTTTTTTTTTTTTTTTGTATATAAAATTCAATTCACAGTTCTCGAAACTGATTTTTTTGAACGAGTAGGAAACTTGTTCTCTTTATAAGTACCGATTCGTCGCACCCTGAACACTACAGCTTCGGAGTTTCCGACAAATTCGATTTTATTACTTTTTTTTTCTCATTCGTAAATCTTTTTTATTTTTTTTTTTTTTATATATTTATATATAAATAGCAGTCTAGATGACGTACCAATTTCATCGATATCGATACAATTCCTAAGATTTTCTTTTTTCCCCCCCTTCTAAAAAAAAAGTCGATTCGCTAAAAATTTTTAAAAAAGAGGAAAAAAATTTGATTATTCAATTTTACATTTGAATAGTTTTTTTCTTTTAAATATTCGAATACGTAACAAAAAATTATGATTCGAATATTTCGCAGGAAATATATAATAATATATATATATATATTCGAATTTGTTCTAATTGTGGAGTTTACTTAATTATTTATCGAGAGTTCATTATAACACATGCAGGACGATGAATGTTTGAAAATAAAATGATATGCAAGAATCCTACGTTTTCTTGTGCTTACTCTTTCTCTCTCTCTCTTTTTTTTCTATCCCTCCCTAGATTATAAATTTGCTGAGCTGCGGACAATTTTTTGCAACTGATATGTATTGGCGATAATCGGAGTTTTGGTATGTCGTAAACTCTGCTAAATATTAGATTTCTCTCGTCTATTTTTTTTTTAGAGTCATCGTGCGTCGGCCAACGACTCCAAAAAGAAGAATTTTTGAAACTATGTTTGCAGAATTGAGTTACAATCCTTCCCCTTTCTAGGTCAGTTTAAAAAATTGGATTTGAAGAGTTGCGCTAAAAAATTGTCAATAATGATACTTTGTACAAAGATTTATATATTTGAAACAGGAGAAAAATGTGGATTTTTACTCAATTTTACAAACGTAGCTTTCATTGTCATATTGGTAAAAGTCATTCATTGGGAATATTGGTTTTTTTTGTAAATTGTCCCCAGAAATAGAGAAAAAAAGCAAAATCTTGACTTATCATTTTGTTTTGAAGCTGGGAATCATCCTTGTCCAAATCGTCAGGGGATTTCAGCTTGGTCCAGTAGATTTCCATTTTCTTTTTGACTTGAATTAAAAAATATGGGAACTTGTTATTTTTTTTTTTTTTTGTTTTTGGGGAGAGAGAATTTTGAAATTATTTCTAATAGTGCCAAAATGTTGGAAGAGGCGGGGGTGGTGGCGGTTGCACCGTTGGATAGAGAGTTGGAGTTGCAATCAAGAGACACGTGGGAGGAAGTGGTGGAGGCACGGGAGGCATAACCGGGGACAGCGTAATCGCCGTGGCTTGATGCAGGGCCGTGCTACTCGTCGGGGCACAGAGCTGGTGCAGGGCGAGAGAGGGGCGCTGGCGTTGACGCTGACGCTGGCCCTGGGCCTCGCCGTTCTATTCCGAGTCTTGCTGCATTTTGGCGTGGCCATTTCCGGCGGAATTACTTGACGCACTTCCACTGCTTGGTGGAAAACTCGTCGGTATGGTGCGCGACGATGAGAAACAAAGTTTCATTATGTAGGGGAATTTACCATCTGAAAAAACAAAATGAATTTGTCGAATTAATTTTTTTTGACAAAATTAAATTTTTAAAATTCACAAATTAATAATAAAACAATAAATAGAATAAAAATTCCAATGGAAAAATAAATCAGAAAATTTTTTATAGAAAATTAGATTTCATTTTTAATTATTTTTCTAATCTAAAAATTTTGAAAATGAAATTTATCCTTAAAAAAATAAGAGAATCTAAGCCAAGAAAATGAAAATTTTTATTGCAAACATAAACTACAACTATATGAAAAAAATGTCTTCAGCAAAGACATAAACTTTTTAGAGAGAAAAATGAAATTCTTTTCAGCAACAGACGTAGATATTTTAATAAACATTCATATAATAAATTTCAAGAAATATTTATAATATTTGTCATGAATTTTCTTTTTATTTTTTTCATTAAAAAAACAAATTTAAATGAAGATGAAAATTTCTTTTGAAGAATTTAAAAATAATAATATTAATAAAGAGGGACAAATATAGTTGGCATTGTTTCCAACTTTGGATTATGCATATATAGAAAGAGAGAAAGAGAAGTAATGTAAACAATGGCAACTTACTGCTATTCTCGAGGGCGGTGTGATTGCACTCCATTATGGCAGCTACCGCAACACCGACACTACTGAATTCAATAAGACCGGACGACGACCGTTCAGATTTTAGAGGAAATAGCTTGACTGTTGTCGGTGCTTCTATGCCTCGTTCCACAAAGACACGATTTACAGTCTCTTCATTTAGATCAGGTGGTGTATTGAAGAAATGAACAATCTTCGATGGTGGTTGTATTCTATTTTTATTGGCCATCGCTGGATTCAAAAACCTGTACAAACAAAAAATTAAATTTTCATTTATTTTCTTTAAAAAATTAAAATTAGTGATAATAAGAGAGAAAAAAATTCCAAAGAAGAAAATGAAAAATCGAAATTGGAGTAATTGAACAAACTTGCCTGTTGTTCTTGCTGCCTGTGAAGTCCTTGAAACTGGCTGTCTTGTCTGGTAAAATATAAGGGTTTGTGACGTCCGAAAGGAAAGCTTGCTTCGAGAATCCTAGTTGAAGTTTGCCATCTGTACCAATTGTGACATTGTTCAGATTCTGCAGACATCTTTCAACAGCTATGCTGTCTCCCATTTGGATCATCGCGCAACCTTCCTTTGTTTTTAAGAATTTCACCTGCAAACAGACAATGAAAACAAAAAATTAATTAAAAAAATTAATTAATCAATATTAATAGAATTCATGAAATTGAATATTTTGAAAATGTTTTTTTAAATCAAAGGAAATTTTGTGAGAATTATAGTTTTTTTACATACCTTTGTGACATTTCCATAGAGACAGAAAAGATTGAAAAGTTTGTCGGTGTTAACTTTGTCGGGTTGTAATCCGTAAACCATCATTACGGAACCTTGTGTACTTGTTGGTGGTGTTTGGCCCAAAGTTGGCACATAACCCGGCCGAGGTGGTGTGGGATGTAATGGTTCTCGACTACCAAAATCACTTTTAAGTCCATATCGTTCAACGTATGGTTCCGCGTATGTCGTTGGACCATTGAAAGTCTCTTCATAACGATCATGTCCTGCGCCTGGGGGAAACGTAACTTGTGGCGTAGACCCTGGAACACGTAAACCTAAATTCAGAATTAATAAATACTGTACTGTTAATAAAATTTTATTTTAAATTTCAATTAATTAATTTTTTTTTATTTCACAAATTTTTAAAATGAATGAAATTTTTTTTTTTTGTAATTCCGTTTTTTATACGAATAAAGCATTGTTTTTCCTTGGATCGAAATGTGAATTCCAAACGAATGATGTTGCAAAGTTAATTTTTTATTGGACAGATTTCAAAGTTGCAAAGTTTTAATTAACTTAGAGAAGGAAGCTCCCTCGCCTAAAGGAAAAAGCTGAGTTTCATTAACAGTCTTGAAAAAATAATTGGCCAGTCTAAATAACGAAATGTTTTTACTCTCCCGAGGCAATTTCTTTATTGAAGAATAATTTATAAATACAATTTTCTCCAAGATTGGAGACAAAATTTTTAGAAATGGAATTTTTTTTTTTTTATTGAAAAAAATAATTAATTCTTACCATATGGTTGTGGTGCTGCTCCATACCTAGGCTCTGCTAAAAGAGGAGCTGGTCTTCCATTTCCCGTTGCGTCATTTTTATGCGTGCTTGATCCTAGAACAAAAAGCATTTCAACATTGTTATAATTATTCTTATTATTATTATAATTATAATTATTATCATAACAACGAAGTTTCCTTTTGCTAAAAGGCAAAGTTCTCTATGTTTAATTAAAGAAATAATTTTCAGCAGAAAATTTCCAAGTGGAAAGTTTCTTGACATTATCTATTTTAATATAACAAAATGTGTTGAGAAAGCACTGTTTTTTTTTTGTTACAATAATAAATTTACAATTTTTTGTTAAAGTATAAGAAAAACGATGCTTTTTATTAAAAGAAATGGAAGAAATACGATTTTCATAAATTGCAATTTCTATTCCTCGAATTAATATTTTTAAAGAAATTTTTCTCGTTCTATTTTATGGAAAATTAAAACTTTGTAAAAAAATTTTCCAAATTTAAACGTGTGTATTATTTGAGAAAAGCAAATTAGAACTTCTGGCTTCTCTTCTAATTTTGAAACTTGTGGTAATAAATATGTTGCTTTGCAGATTGTGACATGTTTCGAAACAGTCCGTTAATCAATCGCGAGAAGTATTACATATAAAGTCACTTGGTCATTTCGACAGTCAATTTTAGCAGCACTCAAATTGGTCAACTCCTCTCTCTCTTTCTCTCTCTCTCTAACAGCGTTATAGAATCGTGAATTTCTTGCTAAAATGTCGATATTTGACGGTTCACTTTGAAAATGTCGAGAAAGCATAAAAAATTACGTCATTTTTACAATCGCATATATTGACAATATTGATTCACTTCAATTGAATCCAGTTTTTAATTATCAAAAATCTTTTTTTTTTGTCAGAAATATCAAATTTCCAACAAATTGGAAACTCAATCTCAAAAAATACTTTTTTTTCAAATAAAAAATTAATTTTTTTAAATCAAATATCGTGAATCATTAAAAATGTGATTTAATTAAATTGTACCTAATTCAGAAAATAATTAATATGTTCTAATTAATGATAAATTAATCTACTATTTTATTGAATTATTTTTATGTAAAGAACTATTTAAAAATTTTCCCAACTTTAGAATAGAATTTTATAAATTAAAATACTGTAATTTGACGTTAATTTAAATTTAAATTTGCCCACTTTAGAATAGAATTTTATAAACTAAATTACTGTAATTTGGTTTTTGTACTCATTTTCATTTTTTTTTTCCTACTATTTTTATAGAAAGAAAAAATGTTAGTACAAAATCATGGAAAAAGCAGCAAATAAATCACCAACTTTAAAAAAAAATGAAGACTCTATAATTTACAGTATTTCAACCTGAAAGTCGTTCAATTTTTATGTGTTTATTTATTTTTCGATATTTTTAGCAAAACAAAAAAAAAAATTGTCAGCTAAAAAGTATTTTAAAAAAATGCGATAAATCAACACTTTTAAGAATTAACTGTCAATATACGATTTTTCTTTCGCTTTTGAAATAAAATTCCTTTAAATTTGCATTTAAAATTTAAAAAAAAATCAAATTTTAAAAACTTTAATAAAATTTTTCGACTACTTTTTATTCTTTAACAATTAAATTTTAGAATAGTTACTATTGTCAAAATAACTAATTTATTTTCGATTCTTTAAGTTGAAAAAAAATCGTCATAAAAAATTACTTTATAAAATAAATTATCGTTTCAAAAAAATCACATTCTCAAATTGGAAATAGAATTATAAAATCGTTTTTATATATGGGCTTTCATGAATGAACATTATTTATATATATATATATATATGTTTGTGAAAATCAATATCGATTTTTTAGAGAGAAAAGAATCATCGAGAAAATTGCGCCACTATAAATTTGAAGAGTACGTGGGTAGCTACTCTCGCCATTCATAAACGGTTGGTTTTCTCTGTCTCTCGGTTATTATGAATTGAAAATTGACACTCAAGAGACGTTATTTGAAGCTTTTTATTTGAGCTATTATATCAGTTGGAGAAAGTCGTAAATTCTTGATTCTCACGAGAGTCACAGTGAGAGAGAGAGAGAGAGAGAGAGAGAGAGAGAGAGAGAGAGAGAGAGAGAGAGAGAGAGAGAGAGAGAGAGAGAGAGAAAGAGAGATGGTTGATGGCTATAGAACTGGGCTGTATCGACCTCCAGAGTCGCCACGCAGACTACCACCGCGCACCCCATAAGCTATATAGAGAGTGCATAACACTAGAATCTGCAGTTTCTGTATGTGTATATATATTTCGATGGTTCAACCACACAATAATTTTTTTGTTTTTTTTTTTTTTAAATTCTCTTCAATATTTCAAATTTCGAGTTTCAAATATTTACACACACACAATCAATTTCATCAAAAGCAGATTTTGGAGCAAAAAAAAAAGAATAAATAAAAATATATTTTTTTTAGAAAAATTCCTTCTTTTTAATGACAAAAAGAGTAATTAAAATTTTTATTACACCCTCAAATTCGTGTTTAATTTAAATCTATGTCTATTAAAATACGAAATATCGAATGTCAATGAAAAAAAAGTTAAAATTAATTATTGTCATAAAAAGCTTGAAATAAGATAGAAAATGGGTTTTATTTCTAAAAAGTGCCATGAAAGATATAAAAAAAAGAAGAAGAGATAAAAAACGAATTTAAATTTCTTATTTGTGAAAAATAAATTTTATTCTGTAGTTTTATGGTGGAAATAAAAATTCTTAGACAAATCGTATACCTAATAATGCAAGGATAAAAAAAAAGTTACATTATAAAATACTTCATTTGGTAAGGAAGTAAAAAAAATCGAATTCTACTAAAAAGAAAAATTGTATTGAAATCGAAATATAAATTATAAATATTTTATTTAGCAAATAAATTATAAAAACACAAAAATAAGCCAATTAAATATTTCCCTTACAAGAAGCTTAAAAACTGTGTTACATATGTAAGGACATTATCAAATTAAGAAAATCACATTAACTCTCTATGCAGAAAATTTTCTCTTTATAATTTTTATTTTTAACATCACATCACACATGCCCTTAATATTCCTTTTTTTAAACATTTGATAAGCGAGAATATAAAATCAATTCTTCAAAAAAAATGCTATTTTTCCGAGTCTCTATATTTAGAATCTTTTAAAAGTGAATTGAAATTAAATTAATTACATCAATGTCAATTACAATGATTCTTTAAAAAGCGTATCATAATTTGTTAAAAATAATTTATTCAAAACTAAAAATAGAAGAAAATTTCTAAGAGAAAAATAATATTTTAAAAAATTTAATTTATTTAATTATAAATTAAAAATTTAATTTTAGTAGAAACTGAAAAAATATAATTATTTCAAATAATAGAAAAAAAAGAAGAAATTGTCACTCGATGGGTGTGAATTAATAATCGGATGAATATTGTTCATCACTAAATATATGAACAATGAAGAATAATTAATGGAGAATAGACTTAAGAGCCTATTTACCGGTTATAGCGGAATCTGATTCAGAACCTGAGAGGAACAATAATACAAGGACACCATGGCATTATATCCGATAATACATCATTCCCTTTGACGCCTATATCAAGGCTTTTGTTTGAAATACAACGTTAATACAAATTTGATGTACAATGTCTTTGATCATCTTCCTCGAACTATATAATTTATCCAGTACCTATAAATGCAAAAAGAAAATGTCTTGGGAAAAACTCTTTTTCTTTCGCATATTATATGTGGTGATAAATTTTTAAATATAAAAATTTCAATAAATGTATTTTACAAATATTTCTAAAAAATATAATAATATTAATAAAATTCATTTATTCAAAATAAAAAATATGTAAAATATTTTTATAAAAAAAATATCAGTTACCTCTTGATTATAATTCAAATAAAAAATATTTTATCATTTAAGCAAAAATTCTCTGGACTTTTAATCAATTTTCCACGTCTTAAATTGTAAAATCGTTCGCTTACTGAAACTGTGTATATATATACATTCTTTGAAAAGTTTGTATAATTTTCATGTCGAATATCTCTCAGGGGAGATGGAAACATTTTCTCAAACGTGACTAGATTAAAATTTAACTTTTTCATTTGTGATTCAAATATATAATATTCATTGTTTTTCTTTTTATAGATATATTAAATGAATAAAATTCTACTCAAATGATATTATTTAAATTATATTCTAAGGGAAAAATTATATATGTTCCAAAAAAAGGGGAAATTATATATTCACATTTAAATATATAAAAAAAAAATCTTAAAATATTAGAAAATTAAATAATTTTTTTTATCGCGTTTGATAATGCTTTTGATAAAGTTGATTAATTTGATTATTGTAATTTTCCAACTAGTTTAATTTTGAAATAATCGAATGTATCACGGTAAGAGAATTTAAATAGAATCTCTATTGAAAATTTATATCACGTAAGTTACATTTCACTAAATCGCATTGTAATTATTATTATTATTATTATTATTATAATTATTATTATTGTTATTTGGCTTATATTTAGCGCGAAAAAAAATTAATATCAAGTGTCACAGATTCTATGAATTATTTCATTCTCAATCTATTTCCATCTAAATAATTATTATTTAAATTATTAAATAAATTATTATTAATATTTTAAAATTATTTTAGTAAATGAATGATCTAATTAAAATTACTTTAATAGAAAAAAATGGCTAAAGCTATTAAACTTCTACTATAAAAACTATTTTAATATTACAGAATGACAATTTTTTTCCATTTTGTTATTTAAAAAGATATAATTTAAAAAATATTAAAGAAATTGAGATTTTCCAGGAAAAATGAGAAATCTGTGCCACAAATAACAAAAGAAAAAGATTTTCAGGTCTGTTTGCCGCTGTTCACCCTAAAAGAAAATTATTATGTTTTTTTTTTATATACAACTTCTGGGACGTCGATTTGTGTTTGGTTAAAAAAAAAAGAAAAAAAAAAAAAAAAAAGAAGTGAAGCATCCAACCAATTACCGTTATAGTTGGCAATGCCAGGTTTACTTAGAAGTCGATCTAATCGATTGGTTACGGTAAACAA